AAATTTAGCATTACATCACTTGCTCACCAATGGATCCTCTGCAGTGAATGGGTGCCGTCAGAATGAGAGTCCAAAACACGAGTCTATAATCCATGATAATGCTTCCTCCAGTGAACAAGTCCATCCCTGTTTTCCTCTCACATCAAATTCCACCAAGATCTGTTTTGAACTGTTTTCGCTTGTAAACTGCGTTTATATTTCTCTCCTGATACAGACGAGACGACTTTTTCACTGGAGAACGCAATGTTATGGATAGAGGACTAGTAATGATTTGTAGTAAAAAAATTTATTACAAACACACAGCTTTTCACTTCACATTACGTTAATTGATGGACTGGAGTGGTGTGGATTACTTGTGGATTATTGTGATGTTTCTATCTGCTGTTTGGACTCTCATTCTGACGGCACCCATTCACTGCAGAGGATTCATTGGTGAGCAAATGATGTAATGCTGAATTTCTCCAAATCTGTTCACAAATTCAGCTTTGGCTTTCAGAAACCTGATAGTAGTACATTTGCCTTGATAAAGACCATCAGTTACCCCATAACAGTGACAAGATATATGCACAAATATACATTCGCGTCAGTTTGGTTGAGAGCCCAAACTAAGTTTTTCTCCCCTCACAGGCACTCTGTATAGAGCAGGAAATTACAGCTGTATCTGCTGAACAAATGAGAGGACTGCTGCACTTCTCCTTTAATCTGCCGGATGACTGTAGCTATAGACTCACAAAATGACATCAACATGCACACACATATAAAAACATGTCCACATATGCAGCTCTTAAAATCTGTTCTGATAATGAAACAAACTCATCTACATCTTGGATTGCCTGAGGGTGAGTAAATATTTAGCAAATCTTCATTTTAGGTTGAACTATTCCTTTAAAGTAATTCTTATATAAAATGCATTGGATTAATCTGCAGATAAAAAAATAATTACTTACAAAGAACATTGAGAGAGCCCTTCTCGTGTGGAGCTTTCTCTGCAAAAATACACAGACAACAAGTTAAGTCTCAAAGCAAAGAACAAGTGAGCATTACATGCACTGAACCACTAGAGGACACAATTGTGTTGTACCAGAGTCTGATTGGCAGAGAGCATGGTGGAGTTGGTATTGCTCTCCTCTCCTCTGATGGGCACTAGCGGCATGGTGCCAAACTTCTGCTTGGAAATGTCAGAGGAAGAGTGCCGTCTCATCACAGGTGGGCGCAAATCATCATTCTGAGGGAGGACGTTAATGCTAATTTACAGCTCTGAAGTGTCAATAAACTTTCAGATTTGTTCAATTTAAAATGTGCTGTACCTGTGCTTTTAGTAAATTAGTCATCCAGTCCCATAATTCAGTCTCACAGGAACAGCTGAGGTACCTGTGAGGTCAAGGAGAGTGATTATTGTTCACTATGTAGCTATAAATAGACACTTTCTATAAAGCCTGTGCAATGCATTGCAAAGTAATATATAATGCTTTTAAATGTATTCATACTTATGTCCTATAATGCACATTACTGTGGTCACACTTCAGTTTGGGGACTAATTCTCACTATTAACTAACTATTAACTATGACTTTTGCCTCAAACTCCTAATTTGCTGCTAGTTAATAGTTAGTAAGGTAGTTGTTAAGTTTAGGATTAAGGGCTATAGAATATGGTCATACAGAATAAAGCATTAATATGTGCTTTATAAGTACTAATAAACAGCCAATATGCTAGTAATATGCATGCTAATAAGCAACTAGTTAATAGTGAGAACTGGACCTTACAGTACAGTATATAACATACTGTATATATATATAGATATATATATATTAAAAAAACGTACAATTGCTGTTTATCCAGCATCACTGTTAATCCCCATCTGCAAGTAAACATGTTTGTTATTTAAAGTTATATCAAGTTCACTGATGAAAAGAAGCTTATTGTGGAACGTGCATCTCACTTTGTTGGTGGTTTTAACTTCTTTCTGATCCCCATGTAAATCTTCAAGGTTTTCAGTTGCCACTCTTTCTCAGGTTTGTTGCTCTGTGAGGTAGGAAAGATGCTTTTAGTTTTTGTTTTCAGTTCACGGTCTTCTCATTTATACAGAATCCTCTGACGTGCTGTAATGTAGAAGGTGATGATGAACAGTATACATACTTTTTTGTCCTTCATCAGGAACAATCTGTGGTCTTTAATTTGGAAAGATCGTTCCTGGAATTTGTTTCCTTGCAAGAGCTTGGGCGGCTCTTCCCGACACTTCAGCACTCCAGACTTCACCATCGCACTCTTATAGGCTGCAGCCCACAACACACAGATACAAGGTCAACAACAATACAGCTGTATCATTTTGTAAAATTTTGTAACAAAGTATACAGTTAGTGTTTTTCGTGTGACAAAATAAGGTTTCAGAGATGTATAGTAATATAGCTGTGTAGTAATAATTCAATGTGACATGCTATATTTTCTTATATTTTTTTCGAATTCTTGTATACTCTACTGTTTGGAGTTTGTTTGTTTTTTAAAGAAATTAACACTTTTATTTAGCAATGATACATTAATATGATGCATCAAAAGGTGATGGTAAAATATTTCTATTTCAAATAAATGCTGTTCTTTTGAACTATTCATCGAACAATCCTGAGAAAAAAAAAATCCACAAAAATATTAAGCAGCATGACTGATTTCAACAGCTTTCAATGTAAGAAATGTTTTTTGAGCAGCAAATCATCATATTTAGAATGATTTCTGAAGGATCATGTGACACTGAAGACTGGAGATGAAAATTCAGCTTTGATCACAGGAATAAATGACATTTTAAAGGGTTCATATAATGCTGCTTAAAAGAACATTATTTGGTGTAATGAAATGTGTTTATGTGGTTTAAGGTTCAAAAAACACATTATTTTCCACATACTGTATATTATGGTTTCTCCTCTATGCCCCGCCATTCTGAAACGCGTCGATTTTTACAAAGCTCATCAGTCTGAAAAGCGAGGTGTGCTCTGATTGGCCAGCTATCCAGTGCGTTGTGATTGGTCGAATACCTCAAGCGTGAGACGGAAATGTTACGCCCCTTACCATATTGTGATGCCATGTCCCGGCCGGAGCGACGAGACAAAAACATTAAAACCCATTATAAACGAGGCATTTGTTGCATCCAGTGGGGACATAATTACTGATTATAATGACTTATACTGTCTTTCTACGCGTTGCGTTGCATCGCTCCGCGTAAACATAAAACCATGTCTGCATTTGTGATCGGAGAAATGACACACAACATATTTTCTGAAAGTCAGTACATCTGATGAAATGAATATGCTTTCACCTGTGAAAATGTCTATAGCTTCTCCTCTAGGCACCTTCTTCACCACCAGATACGCTGAGCTGGGATTGGCCATTTTACACCACTGTAGCGCTTGTTCCAGAACCTTCTCTTTAGGGTGAAGAGGTCGCTCTGTGGAAATTACATGCTGCATTTATCTATTGTTTCTCCCGGCCTTAAAAAACATTGTTTGCCCTGCAGTGTCTGAGTAACTTCAGTAGTAACTGAAGTGAAATTGTGTTTGAATTAATTCGTTTGCGTTTTGTCTTTACCAAGCTCTCCTTCCTCGATGGCCTCAAAGGTCATCCACACGTCTTTTTCCCCTGCAGGAATATTTCTCATATACAGCACCTGATTGGTCAGCTCCTCAGCACACATTGTGGGAGACACCTGTGGGAGAGCCACACCAGAAGTTTGCACTGATGGTTTGAATCTTGTGTAACAGCAACATGAAATACAATTTGAGTTTTATGCTTTTTTTTCGCAATATTATTTTATGTATGTTAGCTTTGAGGCCATCTATATGCTAGTATACTAATAAATGTTGACATCAAATCCTGCCTAGGGATGTATATATACACACATTATTCTATACACATTTTTGTGTTTCAGTAGGAAATACAGAAAATTGCACAAATATACAGTATATATATATATATATATATATATATATATATATATATACAGTATATACACACACACAATTGAGATCAGCACACTTCTGCACCCTAAGAGAGAGGAAGAGAAACCCATGTGAGAGCTGCTATAAATGAACAAAGACCAGACGTGGCTGAACCAGATTCCGAAGGAAGACTCACCTGTAGAGATGACTGATGAGAGCTGCTAAGGTCGTTCTGTTGACCCGAGGTAACCCTCGAATCAGCTCTTTGTATCGGTCCAAACGCTGGGGCTTTTGAGGTATCTCTGCATATAGTATGAGAAATCACTGAGACTACTCAAACTAGCCAAAATCCAGTATGTTTGTTGTCAGTTATACAAAAACGTCATGTTTATGGTTGTAAAATCCATTTTTTGTTATATACATTTAATAATACATGTACAGTGTGAATCTTACTGTATTACTGTTAAACCACTTAAATTCCTCAGTAAAAATAATTGAAAAAAGTTTGCTGCTTTACCTATAAAGTTGTCTAATTTGTCTTTTTCAGGTATCTGGTTGCGTTACCAACGCAATTTTTGTACTTTCGAAAATTATGGAATTTAAACATTCATTAGCAGGACTGCCCAATTGTGACTGTGATACTGTATATATTACAGTATTTTGTTTTGTTTGTTTTTACAAAAATTATACTACCATTTCAAAAGTTTGAGGTGAGGATGCATTCAATTGATCAAAAGTAACAGTAAAGACTTTTATAATGTTACAAAAGATTTGTAAATTCAGCTTTACCATCACAGGAATAAATTACATTTAAAAATATATTCAAATAGAACATTTTAAATTCTAATAAAAATTTCACAGTATTTTTGTTTTTACTGTATTTTTGATCAAATAAATGCAGCTTTGGTGAGCATAAGAGACTTTCACATAAAAAAATAAAAAAAACTCCAAACTTTAGAATGGTAGTATATGTTCTATCAAAGCTATTGTTTGCAATCGTTAGCATGCAACAGATGCATAGACATTATGCAGAAAATAACCCACAATTTTTAATTAAACGGCATTTCAAAGAAAGTTTACTGTACTAACTGGCAGCTTCCCTCCAGAAGGGGTGGAGATCAGCCATGAATATGGGATCATCAATCTCCCGAAAGAACCTTTTCAGTACATCCGTCACGTCCTCTATGAAGTTATCTCCAATACGGAGTTTCACATTGCGGGCATCCTTACGAAACTCCTCCATCAAAAGCTTGATTCTGGACTTCGCACCATTTTTCCTGTATATACCCTCATGGCCTAGACCTGTGTAAGAGAGATCATTTGGACTGCAATGTTAATTTATTTAATAATTATTTAGGCAGGGTGGAATGTCTTCAATTCAAAGCACATGGATTTGAGAAGTCTGTCTTCTCACCATACTGAGTTATAAAGGCAATGCAGCTGTCAACGATGATGGGGATGTCATTTCTGCTGAGCTGCTGGTCTTTCAGGGTGTTCCCATTCCCTCCTGCTGCCTTCTGAATGTCTGTGTACCACAGGGAGAAATCGGTCCTGCCCATGCCCTGCAGATGCAGAGTCCTGCAGACAGAGTCATTATATTTTGATGAAAGAATAATGGGACTTTTTCTTTGTTGTAATGAAATACAATCATTTGCAATAAGAATATGGAGGTGTATTAAAGGAATAGTTCACCCAAAAATGAAAATTTGTTGAAAATGTTCTCACCTTTGGGCCAAGATGTAGATGAGAGTTTGTTTCTTCATTTGGGAAATTTAGCATTACATCACTTGCTGCAGTGAATGGGTGCCGTCAGAATGAGAGTCCAAAAAGCTGATAAAAACATCACAATAATCCACAAGTAATCCACACCACTCCAGTCCATCAGTTAACATCTTGTGAAGTGAAAAGAAACAAAACCATCAAGGTGTTTTAACTTTAACCCATAAAATATGACTTCATAATCCATATTATTGCTTCATCCAGTGAAAAAGTCCATCCCTTGTTGTCTGCTAATATGAAAATACACTGACATATTTGTTTAAAACTGTTTTCGCTTGTAAACAGTGCTTGATCTATGCATATTTCTCTCCGGATGCAGATGAGATGACTTTTTCACTGGAGAATTATGAATTATGGACTCCAGCCGGATGCAACGGTTTGAAGTTAAAAACATCTTAATGATGGATTTGTTTAACAAACACAGTATTTTGCTCCACAATTGATGGACTGGAGTGGTGTGGATTACTTGTGGATTATTGTGATGTTTTTATCAGCTGTTTGGACTCATTCTGACGGCACCCATTCACTGCAGAGGATCCACACTGGTGAGCAAATGATGGAATGCTACATTTATACAAATCTGTTCTGATGAAGAAAATAACTGCATCTTGAATGGCCTTAGGGTATTTTTTAAGCAAATTTTCATTTTTGGGAGAGCTATTCCTTTAAGAAAGTAAACAGGTTTAATTTTGGCTTAAACGTGTACATTAATAGAAGTCAAAGACCCACCTTCCTTTCTCAACAAGAACCAGGATGTCCTTCTTCTCATGGTTCTCTGTTTCCGATGCAATGCCTTGATTTTTAACCCAAGACAAAGACGGATAAGTACATAGCTCATTTATTAATCCTCGAGGGTAAACTTAGCAGCAGTATTTTCTCTGAAATATTGTATCAGTTTCACAGTGATTGAGCTAACAGACTCACTGAGCTCCTGTAGGCGTTTCAGGTTTATAATATCCTCTGCGGCTCCATCATTTCCAGGGCATATGAACAGGTTGGACTTCTGCAGAACAAAGAAGCCTTCTTTCCACTGCTGTGGGTCTAGCATGGCCTTGTAGCGCAGTACGCCCACTCGCTCGAACTCTCGCGCCAGCAGGCAGTGACAGCTGAGAGGGGTGGTGGCCTGCCAGAGATCAAAACCGAGGTGAGATCTAATGCACTGATGTGACAAGCTACATAGAGCAGAGCTTGACTGATTAATATTTACCTTCCCTATTGCTCTCGCCCAACTGTGCAACGCATCTGGAGTCTCCAAGCCAAACTGGATCAGCTTATCAGATGTTAGGTAAAGTTCAAATGTGTATCGAAATCTGAAAGGAACAACAAAGAATCATATTGTTATAATGTTATGATTAAGATACTATGACATCTCTAAATCGGGTTATGTCCTAAAGGATGTTCTGTTATGCAATGACACCCACTTGTCAATAAAGCCGCTGTTGTTGCTGGAGTCTGGCCTGCTAACTCCTAAACAGATGATGTCTTTCACATCGATCTTCATACTGGGCTCATGACATCTGTCAGACTCATAGAAGAGAATAGACTTCTCCACCGAACACCAGTACTTCTGAAAATCTGCTGAATAAATAAAATCAAACAGGTAATTAAAAAAAACAACAATAAAACAAAACTGCTGTTTCGTATCAGATGTCAGTATAAAGTTCAAGACCACTGATGTTTTGAACTGAGCGGTAATCAGATGGTCATGTTTTACACTCGTCTGAATGTACCGTTTTACAGTCTCTTATGCTCACCAAGGCTGCATTTATTTGGTAAAAATAAATACAGTAAAAACAGTAATATTGTGGAATATTATTACAATTTAAAATAACTGTTTTCTATTTGAATATATTTTAAAACGTCATTTATTCCTGTGATCAAAGCTGAATTTTCAGCATCATTACTCCAGTCCTCAGTGTCACATGATCCTCCAGAAATTATTCTAATAACCTGATTTACTGCTCAAGAAACATTTCTGATTATTATCAATGTTGAAAACATTTGCTTAATATTTTTGTGGAAACCATGATACATTTTGTCAGGATTCTTTGATGAATAGAACGTTTAAAGAACAGCATTTATTTGAAATAGAAATCTTTTTATAACATTATAAAAGTTTTTATTGTCACCTTTGATCAACTGAATGCATTTTTGTTTAATTAAATAGAAATTTCTATAAAAAATCTTACTGAACCCAAACTTTTGAATGCATTTTAATTTTGTAACGATTTTTAGGTAAAAATACCTAATTCATTTAATACTTGCACAATTTGATGAGCAGTTAATTTTAAAAGTAATGCATTACAGGTGCATCTCAATAAATTAGAATGTCGTGGAAAAGTTCATTTATTTCAGTAATTCAACTCAAATTGTGAAACTCGTGTATTAA